CATCTTTATTTTATAAGTGATCACCAACCCTCGGGTAATCATTTTCCCCCTAAATGAACCAGTGCCATTTATAAAGTGCCACCCATGTCAACCTCTACTGTAGTTTAGTTAATAACATTTTGTTTTCCTCCTCTCTGGGGCACACAGACGCATGTGCTTCTCGCCCACCCTGTGTCTGGACACCATTGGACTAATTCTGACTAGAGAAATGTAACTAGGCGGTGACAGATGTCACCTCCAGGTAGAGGTGACGAGGGCCCATTGCATCTTTCATCTGTCCTTTGTTTCTTCTCCTGCACGTAACCCAGGTGGGGCACTATAAGATGGGGACCACCTAACCAGACCCTGAATCGCTCCCGAAGCAGAACCTCCCATCAGCCCCCCACGTCCTCAGGATGCGATCAAGAAGTCAGCGTAACCGCTTCAAGTGCCAAGGATTCGGAAGTCCGTACCTTAGTGGAGTACCGCCTAGGCTGACCAGCAGACCAGTACAAATCAACCACTACAAGTGACCCATGTGGGACCCGGGATTTTTCAAGTTCTTGAATTGATTTCTAGTCTAATCATAATGTCAGCCAACAATCCTAATTCCTAAGAGCAGTTTGTAACCACAATGATCTTGTTTTGTTGGTTTTGTTTTTTGGGATTTTTTTGTTGTTTGTTTGAGAGGTTTTTGCTATAGGATGCGTGCACTCGCCAGACAGACAGAGAGACAGAAAGCAAGAAATCACCCCCCGGGGGGATGGCCATGCCACAATCCCTTCTCCTCCATTCTCCTCTCGGGAGGGCATGCATGGACACGCGCCCGGCATGAGTTTAAGCCACCGGGTCCGGGACTCGAACCACGGTTGAGTACCTGGGAGTCCAGCAACATAGCCATTATGTTAACTGCTGGTCCCAACCACAATGATCTTGTGATGGAGTGATACTGAGAGCCTTTATAATAGATAAGGTAGCATATCATCATTGCTATTTGTTTACGATACATCGGTGACAGTATCCACTGTAACTATCCTCTAGATGAAACACCCTAAATGCATTCTACTCTCCTCTTACGACCTGCTAGAAGTGCAGGCACACTTATGCCTCTGCGTGTGAATGGCTCAAGCACGTGTTCAGTTTCCCAAGTGGGTACGGAAAGTATCTGGAGTAGTCGAGGGCATCTTCAAACTGGTGTACAAGCAGTCCTCTCGGCACATGGTTTGGGAGACCGTCTCCAGGTCGTTAGCGTGCATATGTACTCAGTCGGGACAGCGGCTGGACGGCAGTCTGGGGCAGAGCTGCGGCCCATCTGTCGCTGTGTGAATGCCAGTCGAGGAGACACTGAAATGCTGGAGTCCTGAAGACCTCTCTCATAGATACATAGATGGATTTCCAATACTACTTTAATCTCATATTAATAATTACTTTTAAAAGCTCATAATGTAATTATGTTGCTTTGCTCAATTGTACAGTAATCATATTTGTAATGATAATTCAATCCAAGAGAAATGTGTAACAAAAAGGTTTATGATCACAGGAAACTTTCATTTATTTAAAGTGTAATTTATGTGCCACTGTTTGTTACAGAGTAGTTTGATCAATGAAAGACTTTCAAACAAAAAATTGTATTAGGGTAAAATTTTAAGGAGGAAATGGATGTAAGTGTTTCCAAGAAGAAAAAGAAGCGATGCAAAATATTTGACTATGATAAACAGGGCTTTTAGATACTTATGAATGAGTGGATAACAGAATGTATCGTGTTTACGTCTCACTGGAAACTTTTTAAAGTGATGTGACGATTTTACATTGACTATCAAGATTCACAAAGCCCCAGAAATTGTATCATTTGCAGCTGTTTAAGCTTATCATGAAATGTTTTGGATATCACCTTGAAAACGTATGATGAGGCATATCACTTCAAAACTACTCTGGGGGCTATGCAGACAAAGACGTGTGGAGACCCCTGGTTCAGCCAAGCTGAGACCCTGGAGCCCAAGTTTCGCGCCCCCCTGGAAGCCCATCTGTGCCTCTGTCCATTGATGCAGGCTGCTGCGTTTCCAAAGGAGGGCTGGACTACAGACTTCCGCATAGGAGTGAAGGTGCATGGGGCCAGCAGGTGGCATGGCGGTTAAGGCACTGCACTCCCACGTGGTTGACTGCGATTTGAGTCCCAGACACAGTTGCTTAAAACTCTTGCTGAGAGTGTGTATGTGCATGCCCAGAGGAGAACGAAGGAGAAGGGATTGCAGTGTGTCCATCCTGCCTGGAGGGGATTTCTTACTTTACCTCTCTCTGTCTTTCTCTTCTCTCTGGCAAGTACATGCACCCTATGGCAAAAACCTAAAAAAAAAAAAAAAAAGTACACGAAACAGATGACATCTCTGCTTTCTCATTGTCACTCTGTCTTCCATCTTCAACATGATCTTAAACAATTTGCCTCCCTTCTTACGGTTTCTAATTATCTTCCTTAAAAAGAATTATTTTACTTAACTTTGTTCATTTATTGATTAATTTTAATTTGACCTGAGAGGGACAGAGGGAGAGAAAAAGAGGGACCAGCAGTTAGCGTAATGACTGTGTCGCTGGACTCCCACGTAGTCGACAACGGTTCGAAACACGGACCAGTGGCTTGAACTCACGCCAGGCGTGTGTGTGAGCATGCCCAAGATCTCGAGAGGAGAATGGAGGAGAAGGGATTGCGGCATGGCCATCCTCCCTGGGGGGTGATTTCTCGCTTTCTATCCCTCTCTCTCTCTGTCTGGCGAGCACACGCGCCCTATAGCAAAAAATGTCTCCAAAAAAAAAAAAAGAAAGAAAAGAGGGAGAGAAAAAGAGAGAGAGGAAAAGTGAGAAAGAAAGCTGCTAGGTCCAGGGCTCAAACCACAGTCAGCCATGTGGGAGTCCAGTGTCCTTAACCACCATGCCACCTGCCAGCCCCTCTAATTATCTTTATTCCTATTATTATTTATTTTACTTATTGTTATTATTATCTTTTAATTATTCCTATTATTATTTATTTTACTTATTGTAATTATTATCTTTTAATCTGCTATAGGGCACCCGTGCTCACCAGAGAGAGAGAAAGAAAGAGAAGAAAAATGAGAAAGCGAGCCACCAGGTCTGGGATTCGGGCCACGGTCAGTCATGTGAGAGTCTAGTGCCTTAATCACCATGCCACCCACCAGCCTGGAGGTTTCTAAAGGTCTTGAGCTTCTTGGAGAAAGAAATGCAAAGTGTAACGTGATCACCTTATCCCAGAGAGTACAAGCACATCCTTGGAAGCACCACCGTCCAAATATTCTTGAGCAGATTTGGGTATTTTATTCTATGCTAGAGTAATACAATTTATGCTTTTAATCCAGAAAGTCCAAACAGCAGACACTGGGATTTCACTACCCCTTCAGTAATCTAATTTTCTCAACTTCAGAGGAAATTCTTTCAGTTCTAGCCTTCCGTCAGGATTTACCAGACAGATCTAAATCCAACCTAGTTTCATTTTCAGACTAGAAGCCAAAAGGGCTAAGTATGAGAATGAGAATAAACTTCGCTCCAACTTGTGTCTGTTAGGACCTGGCTATGCAGATTAAGTCAGGCTCTGACAGTCTGGGAGTATCCGCTTCCCCAAGGAGATGGTTATGAGTGAGTGAGAATATGCTTGGTAGGTGAAAGCTTAGAGACAGCAAGATACTGATCAGCAAGAAGACAAACTTTCTGTCAGCGTTGCCCGTCTGTCGGAGCACCCAGAAATTTCCCCTGGTCCAACATAAATGCCATCCACCACAAACCCACCCTTTTCTTTTTGCCAGTGTTTCCTTTGTTTGTTTTAAGAAAAAGAGAATAGCTAGTCACCATTCCTTATAAAAGACTCCATACGGTGGGGCCAGCAGATGGCATAGTGGCTACGCCCCTGGACTCCCACATGGCCAACTACGGTTAGAATCTCAGACCCGGTGGCTTGAAATTCAAGGTTGGGCGTGTGTGTGTGTGTGTGTGTGTATGTGTGTGTCCAAAATCCTAAGAGGAGGATGGAGGAGAAAGGATTGAGATGTTGCCATTTCTCCCAGAGGGTCATTTCTTGATTTCTGTCTCTCTTTCTCTCTCTGTCTCTCTAGCAAGTGCACATGTCCTATAGCAAAAATCTCTCTCAAGAAAGAAAGGAAAAAAAGAAAAAGAAAAAGAATCCCTATCTATTTGAAGAGAAGGTATTTGAAACCAGTTCTGCAGAATTCGAAGTCAAGGGTATCCAACATCTCCTCCCTGCCCGGCCTCCTACTCAGATGTTGGCAGCCAAATTCTGCCCAATGTCTCATCAAAGTCAAATTAAATGTCATTCATTTTACCCAAATAACCACTTTCTGCTTGAAAATTTCCCTTAAAATTCTGAGAGCAGGGGCCAGCAGGTAGCATGGTGGTTAAGACACTGGGTCACACATGGCCAGCTTCAAGGTTCAAGTCCCAAACCTGGTGACTTAGAAAACATGTCAGGGGGAACCAGCAGTTAGCGTAATGGCTATGTCGCTGGACTCCCACGTAGTCGACCGCGGTTCGCGTCTCGGACCCGGTGGCTTAAATCTCACGCCGGGCGCGTGTGCGTGCGTGCCCAAGCTCCCGAGAGGAGAATGGAGGAGAAGGGATTGCGGCGTGACCATCCCCCCTGGGGGGTGATTTCTCGCTTTCTGTCTCTATGTCTCTCTCTGTCTGTCTGGCGAGCGCACGCGCCCTATAGCGAAAACCTCTCAAAAAAAAAAAAAAAAAAAAACATGTCAGGTACAGGACCGCATGGCCAAGTCTCAAGGGGAGGAGGGAGAAGGGCCTGTGCGTGGCCAGCCCCCTTGTGGGATGGGCTATCACTCTCCCCGCTCTCTGGCTCTCTGGTGAGTGCACACGCTCTATGACAACAATTTTTTAAAAAGAATTCTGACAGCACGTTCTACGGGACAGCGTTAGGCAGGCACCCCGACATAGCCATTATGCTGACTGCTGGTCCCACTTCAGCCACTCTTTAGGACTCGGCTCCAGCCAAGTGAGTTGACTTGATCCTCTGGCGTTCTGTGAGGTGCAACAGCTAAAAGCACGCGAGAGTTCTGATGGTGATGAAAAGAGACTCCTCCACTCAAGTGTCCTGGGTCAGGCTCCTCTGCCCCAGGTCCCAGTGAGCCTATCGCTGTCTGTATCCAAGCCAGGCTGCTGTAGTTACTCGCTCACCTCTTCTACCCCGACTGGACTTTGAGCACCCGGGCGAGAACCGTGCTCTACCTAGCTTTGAACTTCACGGCGAAGAGAGTCTGGCTCATAGTAAGTACTTAATGAGCATTTGGTGAATGGACGCCTGCTTGCTGTCAGTCCCTGGACCGGGTGGGGAGTTCGTCGGAAGGACTGGGTTGCTAATGGTGTGGCTTGGCCTGCATGTTGCAGGCTGGGAGAGAAGTTCTGGGACTGAGATCGGTCCCGCTTCCCTCAATCATTTCAAAACACTCCCTCCATGAAAGACTGGCCGTGAGCTGATAGCTGGTAGCTGGTGTCCTGGACAAGCGCCCTGGTAGGTCACCCAGGGAGACAAGCTGAAAGGGAGGCTGCTTCACTGGTCCTCTCATCTCCCAGAGTGCTTAGTTAAACAGCCCCTCTGCAAGGGGCCGGGACCCTGCGTGGAAGTTTGGGCTCTTGTTTTGGAAGAGGCCTAGAGAGTGTGCCAGGGTCGGATTGTTGGCCCGTAGGCCGGCATTCGCAGCATCTGCCTTTTGCAATTTCCTGCCTGTAAAAGCTGTTTACTTGCGCAGCGTTTGCGGTCCTTGCATTAGCCAGCGTCCCATCCGTAACACCTGGGTACATCCATTTTCGTTTCCCAGCATCTGTCTTTTACAAGCTCTTACTGACAAGATTCACATTTAGGGGGTTCACCTCTGAAAACAGCTGGGCCCAGGACGGTCAAGAAGTGGTTGTGATGTTGGACTGGGTCTCTGGGAAGGGACTCGGATGAGAGAAATATCAGATCAAGCGAGAAAAAGGAAAACAGACGTGCAAGCCACATCTGCTCCTATGATACCGCCCATCCACGGGCACTTGAAGGTGTCAGGAGCCTCGCACGTCCAAGCTGCCAGGCAAAGCCCTAGCTCCCATCAGTATGGGGCCAGCTAGCCCCAGAAGTAGCTCCTGCACCACGGCTCGACCATGTTCTTTCGTGTCTCCTTAAAGCCGATTGCTTATTTTAAAAACTGGGCTTTGTATCTTAAGTGGTCAAGCATATCAAAATAACAAAGAGAAGAAAATATCTGAGACACAGTACTAAGAATTTAGTGTCGGGGGCCTGCAGGTGGAGTGGTAGGTAAGGTACCGGACTCCCACATGGGCGACTACGGTTCTAATCTAGACACTGGCAGCTTGCTTTCTCACTCTCTCTCCCTCTCTCTCTCTCTCTCTCTCTTGATCACATGTGCCCTGCAGCAAATTTCAAATAATAAATTGTAAAATTAAATACGTAATTCTTTAAAAAAAGAAGAAGAAGAATTTAGTGTCTGTGAACCTTAATGAGAATTCAGTGAGCTGCAAAGTTCTTTGAGGGGTCACTTTCAGTGAGGACCAGTCTGCTATGTGGTTGGATTAAGCGGTCACCCACACAGTGTCATATGAGTGACTAAGAACGTCGTCTTATTCCCCAGGTAGCTAGTCTTCCTCGGCGTGCCCCCATGACTCAAATTCCATGAGCAGAAATACAATCTTCAGGTTCAACAGTGATTCATCAAGTATCCTGTTTTAGAGTGCAAAATTCCAACGAGAAAGAACTCTTTAGGTTTGGAAGTCACCAACAACTCAAGATGAATTATATCTCTTCTTTTCTCCAGCAGGAGACACACTCATCCCCGTTTGCCTGTCTCCTGTGGGTGGGGAGGAGACGGGAGCGGAGAGAAAGGGAGAAGGGAGCTTGAGTGAGATGCAGAGTCAGCGATCTCAGAGACAACCCGGCCTGCTTCGGCCTTTGGCGAGGACCCAGCTCTCCAAACCCACCTGATGGGTGTTTTCTGGTGGGCCAGCTCAGGAGGCCTCTAACTTTACTGTTCAGAGGGGTCGCCTGGGGATCTTGCAGAAATGAGGAATCTGACTCTAGTCCTGGGTGGTGCCCCAGAGCCTGCAGTTCCTCTAGTCCCCAGGTGAAGCTGGTGCTCCGGTCTCCGAGGCATCCTCCGAGAAGCGGGGTGCCGGGTGGAAGCCCGAGTGTCTTCAGCACTGCACACCGTTCTTCCAGCGGGCACGGTTAGACGCTTGTCTGACATACACCGTCCCCGGGGCACCGAGAGGCTCTCTGCAGGGCGCCACCCAGGACACCCCCCCCCCACCTGACAGTCACGTCCAGGTTGAAACCATCCTATCCCTTCATTTTTGGTGCACCCAATGCCTTGTAACAAACACCTCCCGGACTGAGCCGGGTCCTAAGCACACTCTAACTCCCAGCTCGCTCTGAAAGGAGAGTCATACACCGTCCCCGGGGCACCGAGAGGCTCTCTGCAGGGCGCCACCCAGGACACCCCCCCCCCACCTGACAGTCACGTCCAGGTTGAAACCATCCTATCCCTTCATTTTTGGTGCACCCAATGCCTTGTAACAAACACCTCCCGGACTGAGCCGGGTCCTAAGCACACTCTAACTCCCAGCTCTCTCTGAAAGGAGAGTAGAACAAGAATTGCTGTGAGTGAGAGCAAGCCCAGCCACCCAGGCAGGCCCACATCTACCTGTGCAGAAGATTAAAATTCCTCGCATGCCTCCCAACAAGGAAGGCTTTATTCCTCTCTCCAGAGAAGAGTTTGAAGGGGTAAGAGCACCCAAGTGAAGGTGCTCACTCTGCCGGCGATGTGATCTCACTGCGCCGAAGCTGCACTTTCTCCTGGGGATGGGGAAGGGATGCTCCTGAGCAGGCGGCTGGTGGAGCTTTGCCTAGGAACAAGTCCGACAACCCTCCCCTAAAGCCAGGCCATTAACGCTGCCCCACCCACCCCAGGGCAAGAACTGGCTCCTGAGAACATACATTCCAAAGGCAGCAGACAGGAACATTTGGGAAATGGGAAATAAGAAACCTTTGTCTTCAGCCTACTCCTGCTTTCTGTGTGGAGCCTTGCTTTGGCTCTCAGCAATCGCCTCCCAAGGCCACTCCGAACCCTCCGTGCCCCCTCCTGCCCACGGGCCCTCCGTGCTCCCCTCCTATCCTCCATGCCCCCCTCCTGCCCTCTGTGCCCCCTCCTGCCCTCCGTGCGCCCCTCCTGCCCTCTGTGCCCCCCTC